CTTTACAAACGTGGACCACACTCTAAGCAACCCAAAAAAAAAGTTTTGAGGGGCTGGCCCCGTGGCCGAGTGGTTAAGTTCGCGCACTCCGCTGCAGGCGGCCCAGTGTTTCATTAGTTCGAATCCTGGGCGCGGACATGGCACTGCTCATCAAGCCACACTGAGGCAGCGTCCCACATGCCACAACTAGAAGGACCCACAACAAAGAATACACAACTATGTACCGGGGGGCTCTGGGGAGAAAAAGGAAAAAATAAAATCTTTAAAAAAAAAAAAAAAGTTTTGACACTAACTGACTTGCCGCCACAAGAAAATAAGAACGTGATATTGGTGAAACAAGAAAGGAAACATGGGAGGACAAGGCGAAAGAATGAGATTAAAAAGGGAACCTGCAAGAGGTCAGGAACCGATAACCAAAACACCTCTATGAAAAAAGAATCCAGCAAATAAATTAGAAATAGCAAGAAAAAGAATAGACAGAGTTGTAAACTTAAGTGTAACGCCCAGGGATGGCTTCAGATAATTACGGAGAGTCAGAGATTAAATAAAATGCATGGGGACCAAAATTTAGACAACAAATTAAACCCTACGCCCCTGACATCAGTCATTTTATTCAAGCAATTCTTCTGTTGCTCAAAATAGCTTGGGAACATTTTTTGGCAATAACTTTCAAAACCAAGGGTTTTTTTTTTTTTTTAAATCATTAAAAGAAAACTAGTTTCCTTACTTTCTTTTCATACCTCATTCTTGATCCAAAAGAATCTTATCTGGCATGAGACAGCGCTTGGCGCTGAATCGGAAAATAATAACAATAGCTATAATTTATGTAAGACTTACATATCCTGGCACTGTTCTAAAGCTTTATCTATATGAAAGCATTTAATCCTCATAACCACCCCTATGAAATAAGTGCTGTCATAATCTCCGATTTCAGTTAAGGAAACTGAGTCATAGAGAAATTAAGTAACTTGCCAAACACCTGGCAGAGCTGGGCTGTGAACCCAGGCATCGGGCTCCAGAGCCAAACCCTTTATCTCCATGTGAATATTTATTGAAGGAGTGAATGGATGGTCAGCTACTTTATTGACCCAACTTGGTCCCAAACGACTTCAGGCTCTTTTTTCTTCTATTGAGGATATGGGAAAACGTTCAAAATAAGATATAAAAATTCTGGTTGATTTGTTTTTCAAATGCCTCATTACACAATACTCAAATCTCCTAATTCTGGTTTTCAACTGAAGGCGACATTCGTTGTCAAAATCTCTATAAATCATCTTTCCCACCCCTTCACCTTGCCTCTCCAGACACAAGCTCTTAATCCCTTCATAGGCAAAGAAAATTCTTGTCAAAACCTGCAGGAGCCCAGCCACGAAGCTTCAACGGACTTTAAGCTCTGAGGTACCCTCTCGTCAGGCCAAGGGCAAAGGAGAAGAGTCTGGAATTAGGAAAGCTGGGAGGAACCCTCACACACCCAAGGGGCTTTCCTGGGAGCAAGGAGGAGCAGCAGAGGCACGCCATGGGGAGCAGAAGGGGAAAGTTCAACCGAACACTACAGGAGGTTACAAACCTGGGGTCACCCAAAGGCACCAAGGGCAGGGGTGCAGAAACAAGGCTGCGAGCTCCTGACGGTTGAGTTATATTCAAGGGACAGGGATGTGGCAGCTCAAGGCCCATCAGATTCATCCTTGTCAGCATCCCAGGCATCTGGAGAGGCTGACAAAGGCCAAGCAGTTTCATGGCCATTGGAACCAGGATTGAGGACCAGGATCCAGTCCTGGCAGAAAACCAAGTGAAAATTTGATCAGAAGCCGGGTCAAATGGATGAGCATCCTGGGGAGGCGAAGGTTTCCCCTGGGACAGCAGTGCCTGGCTCGGAGCCCAAGGCCAACTGCATGCCCAGGAAGGAGGTGATGGAGACCCTGAAATCCTTCCAGGGTTGAGCTGAACTGGCCTGAGTCTGTAGCCGGTCAAGCAGGACTGAGGAAGGAGGGCTGAATGCTGGCGATGGATGAAAGGATAGAGACTGTCACCCACGCGAGGAAGCTGGGCCAGGTGCGTACAATCTCATAAAATCAGACGTGAACGATGAGCCTTGTTCATTCAAGCTACCTACTAAGAAATCCTACAAAAGAAAGGATGCCCTTATCTGGAAGAAGCTTTGCAAAGACAACACTGTCCTTGTCAATTTTTTGAGGTGACAGCTTAGTGAAACATCTTTACATTCTGAGTCGCATTTCCAGGAGCTAAATGTCAGTGGACTCTCTGCACATATCAGAGTCTAATTATTTTTTGTTTTACCTAACAAAGGAACGATATAACATGAACTGACTTGAAAAAAGAAGGAAAATAGGAAAGAAGAGAGAAAACAGGTCTTAACAGATACGCATCCATTCCTTAAAAGGAAGATATAGATATTTTTTTTTTTTGCCATGCTGTACATTACATCCCCAGGACTTATTTATTTCATAACTGGAAGTGTGTACCTTTCAATCCCCTTTACCCATTTCACCCACCCTCCCCACTCCACCTCTGGCAACCACCAATCTGTTCTCTGTATCTATGAGTTCAGTTTTTTGGGTTCTTTTTAGATTCCACGTATAAGTGAGATCACACAGAATTTGTCTTTCTCTGTCTAACTTATTTCACTAAAAGGAAGATATGAAATGCTCTCTCTTTGAAGCGATTTGTATATGACATGTACCTGTTTAAGAGGAAGCACCATAAAAGATGGGCGTATCCTAGACTACATAACTTAATTGAAATGTTACATGTAAGGATGGGCAGAATCAGCATGCATTTACCCACAAACATGACTCTAGGAATTTCCTGTCTATAAAACACTCTACACAGCAGACATTCCCCACCCCCAGCACTCATTGGAATATGATACTTCCCCAGAACCCTATCTTCATTAAATTCTACTCCTCCGTCTCAAGAAGCCAGGGCAGAAACAGCAAACGAGAGGGACATGGAGACAGGAGGTGATGTTAATATTTACAAAAGGCAAATTCATAACAAAGAAGTTTTTCAGTTTGCCGTGCTAATACAAAGGAAGAGTGAAAAGTAACTTCACAACATCTGATCACTGCAGATGTGGAAAGGGTTTTCCATAATTGGAAGTTGTATTTATCCCCAACAAGTCAGACACCTAAACAAAAAAAAAGGTGAAACAGAAACAGGATTTTAAAAAAGGTAAATGCAATATTTGTCGTGCATATTTACGACACATGTTACACACACACATACACACACCAATTGGTAGAAGTGTTGTTAAAAATGTTGATTATAAAATCTTAAGGCGCCTCACTGCCTTGAGGAATGACCTGAAGAGACTCGCTGCCCGCCCTCTCTACGAAGTCAAAACCCTGCGGGCACTTCTTAGTGAAAAGATGTCTTCACCATATTGCCCGTCAGCCCCTCCACAACTCCCACACTCTGCTGGGAGCTGTCTGTGCAGAATGCTAGGCAGTTGATTTTTTTCTTTTTATATTGGGTTATTCATGTTAACTGCGAGGGGGAAAAAAAGGAAGATTGGCAACAGATGTTAGCTTAGGGCCAATCTTCCTCACCAAAAGAAAAAAAAAAGACAAGCAATAAATGCAGGCAAAGATGTGGAGAAAAGGGAACCCTTGTCCACTGTTGATGGGAATGTAAATTGGTACAGTCGCTATGGAAAACAGTATGGAGGTGCCTCAAGAAATTAAAAATAGAACTACCATATGATCCAGCTATCCCACCTCTGGGTATATAATCCAAAGGAAAGGAAAATGTTATATCAAAAAGATATCTCTACTTCCACATTCACTGCAGCATTCTTCACAAGAGCCAAGCTATAATAGCCAAGAAACAACCTAAATGTCTGCAGACAGATGAATGTTTAAAATGCGGTAGATATATATACAAGGAATATTATTCAGCCTTAAACAAGAAAGAAACCCTGCCATTTGGGACAACATGGATGAAACTGGAGGGCATCACGCTAAGCGAAATAACCCATAAAGAGAAAGACAAACACTGCAAGATATCACTTATATATGCAATCTTTAAAAAGGGGGGGAGGGTTAAACTCATAGAAACAAAGTAGCAATAGCCAGAGGCTAGGGGGTGGGAGAAATAAGAAGAGGTTCTAAGGATCTAATGCATAACACGATGACTATAGTTGACAACACTGTACTATATAACTGAAATTTGCTAAGAGTACAACTTAAACGTTCTCACCCAAAAATAAATAAATAAATACACTGTTAGATCAAGTTTGATGAAATTTGGTCTGTAACCATTTTCTTTTCCTTAATTTAAAAAGAAGACAGAGAACCAGCCTGCAATACGCGGGGATCAGAAGGGCCAGGCGGTCAAAAGAGCCCCTGGTCCCCCGCCTCACCTTTCCCAGGGCGCCGTCCCCACGCCCCCCGCGCGCCCAGCGCCTCCCGCGTTCCCCTCGCCGGCACCACCGGGGCCCGCTCCCCGCGCGCCCGCACCTCCCTCGGCCTCCGCGCTCCCCGTGCCCTCCGGCCCCCGTCTCCAGCGCCCGAACCTCCCCCGGCCCCCGCTCTCCTCGGGCCCCGCCTGCCGTGCCCCCGGCGCCGGCACCGCCGGCACCACCTGCGCCCCCCGCGAGCCCGCATCTCCCCCGGCCCCCGCTCTCCTCGCGCCCCGCCTGCCGTGCCCCCGGCGCCAGCACCGCTGGCACCACCTGCGCCCCCAGCGCCCAGCGCGCCCACACCTCTCCCGGCCCCCGTTCTCCCCGCGCCCCGCCTGCCGTGTCCCCGGCGCCGGGACCGCCGGCACCATCTGCGCCCCCCGCGAGTCCCCATCTCCCCCGGTCCCCGCTCTCCTCGCGCCCCGCCTGCTGTGTCCCCAGTGCCGGCACCATCTGCGACCTCCGCGCCCCCCACGCCCCGCGCGTCCGCACCTCGCCCGGCCCCGCTGTCCCTGCGCCCCACCTGCCGTGACCCCGGCGCCGGCACCACCTGCGCCCCCCGCGCCCCGCGCGCCCGCACCTCCCGGCTCTCACGGTGCGCCCGGCACTCGCTCGGCGGCCCGGCCGGGCTGCAGCCGCAGCGAGCTCACAGCCGCATCGCGGCGAGCAGAGCCGGGGACCCGCGGCCGGTCCTCGGAGGAGCTGGATGCAGGCCGAGCGCCGCTGGCCCCTCCGCACGGCATTTAGGAGGTGGGAGGAGCGGCGCGGCGATGCGCACAGGAAATCTGATAGGTTCAGGAGGCGGGCGGGCGGAGGACGCGGGGCGCTGCGGCTTGGGATGGGGGGGAGGGCGCCCCGAACCCCGCCGCCGCTCTCGCCGGGCTCCAGGAACTGGCAGGACCCTTATGCTGGGTGCCCGGGAAGGCCACAGGAACTGTCTGCAAGGTTCCGCCTCCATAGACCCAGGGCAAGAGCATCTTTCACCGAGCACCAGACATTCACGATGGTGGAATTTGCTCATCTCCCCTTAGGCCGATTCTTCGAGTTCCTCGTCCTGCCTTCCCCGTGGACGGTCCCAAAGTTAACTTTGAAAACATTCTCTGTGCCGGGAAGGCAGCGCGGTCCTGTGCTACTCAAATTCAGTTGGCTTTGAGCAGTGTGTCACGTTCTGATAACAGGATGGGGCGTTATGGGGGCTGTTTGTGTTGGGGAGCCCACAGCTGGTGTATCAAATGAAGATTACGCAGATTCTAACCCGCTCAATGAAGAGGCACGAGCCCTCCACACGGGGTCAGCAGGTTAGTTCCCTCAGCACCCAAGCTCCCCGCTTGGGGAAGTGAAACCCCAGGGTTGATGAAGGCGCAATTTCAGTATACCCACACGAAGGGAGTCAAGTCTCCTGATTGATTACTTACAGATCCCAGAAAGAGGGGGCGGGCGCAGGCGCAATGAGCCAGGGGGCGGCGAAGCGGGCAGGTGTGCCAGGAACGCTAACTCAGTCCGCGAGCGAGGAAGGTGAGCGGTGAGACAAACGAGATGCTGCCAAAGGGATGCCAGCTTTCTCTGGCGGGAAAAACATACATTTCCCATGTACAAAAATATACACATATATTTTTTAAGAGTTAGGGGCATATCATTGATCATCTAATTCATTGATTGTCAATCCTGGCTGCGCGGTACGATCGCCTGGGAAGCTTCGAAACTTCCCAATGCTCGGGCCCCCTACCCCAAGCCAGATGATTTTGACTTCTTTTCCTTAATCTCCTCTCTGCAGTAGCTTCAGAACAATGCCAGGCCTGATTTCCCCCACGTTAGCATGTGGTCCTTCTTGCGCAAAGATGAAGTGAGCTAATGGGGGGATGGGGCGTGAAGAAGACCCCCAAATATTTAGCGAGATGGAGCGCCCAGGCCCGAAAGGTGTAGAATCGTTTCAGAGAAAGGAAGAGGCCCGGGGAAGGCGCGGGGCGGGCGGAGCCGGCGCCCTGGGAAGAGGCTGATGAGGAGGAACGTAGGAGCGGGGCAGCGCAGCCGCCGGCCTGGGTGATTAGACTCCCCCGCGCTTCGGCACCGCGCTCCGGCTTTCCTGCAGCAGGTTCTGCAGCACGTTTCCTGGGGTAACCAAGTGGGCCTGGAGCGCTCTCTGCTGAGCGCTCTTACGGCGCAGCCAGGCAGGATGCAGCCTCGCAGCCGTCAGGTGGGGTTGGCGCCAGACCAGAGCGTGGATGAGGTAAAGCGTGCCCTCTCCTTCCCGGAATCCCCTCCCGACCTGCCTCCCTTCCTTGCGCCTCCCCGTCCGCTCCCTAGCAACACCTCTGTCAGCCTCAGACGCCTTAGTTCAGACGGCTCCCGGACTTGCTTCAGGCACCCCGGGCATCCCGAGGGGCCCAGAGCCAGGGCAGGTGTGTTTTAATCGAGGTGAGGCGAGCTGGGATGGTGCAGGACCCAGAGAAGGGGGCCTGGGGAGGACAGGACTGAGGTGCGGAGGGGCAGCGTCCCAGCAGGGCCTCTGCAGGGAGATGACGTTCCAGCTGAGCCCAGAATGATGAAAAGGCCACGAGAAGGTGAGGAGAGAGGCTTCCAGGCAGAGGGAAGGCCCTGAGAGAGGAACTTGTCTGCCCCTGGCTCAGTATTACCGTGTGGAAAGTGGGCTAATAGAACAGGCAGACGAGGTAGGTCCGGGTGCACAAAGGGCCCCTGGACCAGAGCTCAGGTTCTAAGGCTCTGACATTGGCCTCTGCTGGGCTGCCGTGTCCCCTGCACGGTGGAGGGGATCTCACCTGTGAGCCTTGCAGACCACACCCCTGAGGGAACGATTTTGTGGGGGCAGTGGCACCTCTGCCCCACGTGTCCCCCACCCCCACCCAGTACCTTCTCCAGAGCGTGGGACCCTGACTGCTGCTCAAAACGTCCAGCCTTCCCAGGTTGCTGACCCAAAACAGGGGTTGCCAGAAGCACCGCTGACGTTTTTGGTCAGACCAGTGTGTTGTGGGGACTGCCCTGTGTGGTGGAGGGTATTTAGCAGGATTCCCCAGCCTCTACTCACTAGACGCCAGAGCACATCACACACACGTGTGCACACACACACAGACACACACATGCAAGTGGTTGTCTCCAGATGTTGTCAGATGTCCCAAGAGGAGCAAAATTGCCCCCCGGTTGAGAACCGCTGTTCTGACAGGAAGGAACGGGACCGAGTGCCCCACAAATTGCTACAGAACACATCATTATTAGTGATGGCCCCATGGAAAAGGGCCACCTTCCAGATACATAATAGGGCCCTGGCCAAAGTCCTCTCCCTCTGGTGGCACCAGCCTCCTTGTGCTCCTCGAAGGAGCAGAGCTCATTCGCATCTCTGCATCTACGTGCCTGTCTTCCTCCCTCTGTCTGGAATGTTCCTCTCCCGGATGGCTCTCTGCGGCTTTGCTCAGACCTCCACTCAGATCCGCCTCCCAGGCAGGCCTTCCCCCAGCACAGGCTAATGCACACGCCCTCCTGCCCTCGTCACCCCCATCCCGTGACCCTACTTGGCCCAGCATTGCTGCCCGACATCGCCGAGGCCATTTGCTCCTTTGTGTGTGCCCTGTCTCCCCTTCCAGAACAGGACTTCAGGCCAGACCACCACAACCCCAGCAGAGCGCTCGGCCTGGCAGAGAGTGGATGCTTGAACAATACCTGTTGAATAAATAAGCGGGGGGGATGAACAAATGGCAGAAATATGTGCGGCATCTGGAAGGAACGGAGAAGGTGGGGAGCTCTTGGTTGCCATTGGGTTGGGTCTTGGGGAGTTGTGGGAGGCACCGAGAGACCCCTTCCCCCTCATCCCGGCTGGTGATCACAGGAGGTGGGGGCGTTGCCCCCTTCTCACCCATGTCAGAGAGGTTAGAGCTGCTGCTGGCAGGAAACCCTGCATTTCCAATTACAGGACCTGGGTGGAACCAGCATCTGTGGCTGACAGTCCCAGGGACCCTATGCAAATTTGAAGAACCCAGCAGAGGTTCTTTGAGGCCTGGAAAATGGCATTTCCAGGGAAGCCACTATACTGATTAGAATTACTGTGCCAGGAAGGTTTTTCGGGCCCACAGCAGTTTCCTGAAACGTTAAACAAAGCTCTCACGGAGCAAGGAGAAGGGCTGTGGGAACTGAGGTTCAGAGCTCAGAGGAAGTAGCTGCGGCTTAGAGAGTCTGGTGTACATGCTAGCTGTGTGGCTAACCCTCCTGGGGCCCCAGTGAGGCCCGTCACTGCTCCCCTTGACATCTGCGGTGAATGCTGGAGCATCTAAACGAACCAGATTCTAAAGTCTAAAATAAGATGTTCGTCTTGAATCCTGAGGATAGAAGCTCCAAGCCAGGGAAGTGATGAAGAGGTAAGGACACAGAGAGCCTGGGCAACCTGGTTCTACAACCTTCTGGCTCTGTTAAATTGGCTCCACCATCAGCTTCCTCATCCACACAGTGGTTGTGATAATAGAGTTGTCCTGGGGGTCACATACAATAGTCCAACCAGAGGCTGGGGACGCGCCTGTGCTCTCTCTCTTAGTAACACTTACCAATTCTAAGGGAGTTTTTGTTCTCTCGTGTGTTTGTTTTAATTCCATGTTTCATTGTCATCTTAGGAAGCCGCATCCTTCTCTCAACATTGCCTTCAGAAGCATTTGCCACCCTCTCAAGAAACCCATTCCTTAGATGTACACACCGTTCTTGTCAGAGAAGCTATCCACCTGGTGCTAAATGAATTTTTTGAGGTGTGTCGAAAATCAACTTCACACTCAAAGGTTTTTCTAGGACCGAGGAGGTTTTCATGTACACTGAGCTGTGCAGACGGCTCCTCAAGAGGCACGCTGAAGAGAGGGTCAAGTCCCGGGGACCATTTGCAAGCGAGGACGTTCATTTCAAGCGTATAAATTCTGGAGCGTGGGCTCAATACATCGATCATCCTTTGAAGAGGGCACAAAAAAAGATAAAAGGCATTATTATCTTTCTGCTTCAGGGACACCCAGTGGCGGACGAGAAACCAATTTGCCAATAACTGACCATGTTAGGAGGTAGGCCTGGACTTGAATGTTGACAGAAGTTTAACCAAATGTGATGGGAGCACAGAGGAAGAGCCAGCTGATTGTCCCTGGGGGTTGTTGGACTTCATCCATTGTTTTTCCATCTTGCTCTAGCATTAGAAACTCCTTTCTCAAATGGAATGTGGGTGTACCTCCAATATTCGGAAACCAGCTCCGTCAGAGCTGTTCTGCTGGGGGGGGGGGGGGGGGCGTGCCCTCCAGCCCACTCGACACCTCCCTTCCTTCCATCACCCCAAGATACCGACTCTCACCCCAGGACTGTGCCCAACGCTGCTTCCATGTCTCCAGCCCCGAGGATGAGGAAGTTTCTTTCCAGTTCTAACCACACCTGTTGGTTAATGGGACCAAAGTACAAAACACAGAGGAAGCTAAAGGAAGTCAGAGTCCAGGCAGCTTCCTGGGTTTGTCCTGGGGCCCTTCTGCTTCTCCTCAACCTCCTGCCTTTTAGAAAAGTCCTTCCCTTTAGCCCGCGTGTGGGTGCACCGGGGCAGGGCAAAGAAACAGAATACTAACCAGCAGTGTGCTCCTTGTCAGCTCGCTTCCACGGAGCGAGATCACACTAAAACCGAAGCTACAGAGAAGTGCTGAGGACACTTCCTTCAGTGAACACTACAGCTTCCAAAGCCCTTTTTATGTAAGCCATCCCATTCACGCTTCTGATAATCCCCCCTCCCCAGGAACAGTGCCCGCGAGGTGTTTTTATTTTCAGATGAAACTGAAAGCCAGTGGTGCCTGACAGCATGGGCTTCAAAGCCACTTACTCACCCTCTGGCCTCTTGTCACCGCAGTGTCCCACCTCCGCAATGGAGATGGCAGGAAAGGTGTTGTGAACTATGCCTGGCCCGTAGGGAGCCCTCGGTCCACGCCAGTCTGATGAGTAGGTAACTGACCCAGGAGCTCATCCCTGGGCAGTGGGGTGCGGAGGACCAGAACCCAGGCCTCCGATTCCCCCTTGGATGCCCTCCTAGCCCGGATGTTCCACGGTCCTTTGTGTGGTCGTCTCAGTCCCCACAGAAGCACTTCTGATCCCCCAAATAAAGTAAAAGTGATGACACTACTTAGTGAACATGTGAATAATACTGTGATGTGAAGGCTGTTTAACAGAATTTTTTGTCGCTGGTTTTATTGAAAGAATTAATCATAGCCAATTGAAGAAAACTCACTTAAATCTCTTTTTTAGAAGTGAAATTATTATTCATTATTATTAAAGCTCTGTGCCAGTCATTATTCTAAATGTTTGACATGCGGTAACTCATTTATTTCTCAGTACAGTGTGGGGAGGGCGGTGCTGTTTTATCCCCATTTTACAGATGAGAATACTGAGGCACAGAGTTCTAATAATTAGCCCACGTAAAGCAAATTCTCGCCGACAAGAAACAACTTAAAGTTGTAGTGTATGTATGTGACTTTGTTAGCCCACCTCGTTCCTCCTCCCACCTCTTATCCTAACTGTTATGAATCTAAAGCAGGGGGGGGAATTGAGAACGCAAACGCTGCGCACTTTAGCCCGAAGTGGACGGGGAGCTGGCAGATGTTCGCAAAGGTTTGTTTCAAAGGAGGAAATCCGTAAAGCCATCATGCACCCGTGGGCTGGAAGAAGATGCGATACCTTTAAAAAAGAGATCAGGAACCGATTACCCTGCTTTCGTCTGAGGCAAAATATCTAGGAATAGTGGGGAGAGCAATACGAAAAGTTAATTAGAGACCAGGTAAAATGGGTGAGGGAGATAGTGCAAAAAAGGGTACGATCGTCTGTAGAGGCCAGGAAACAGACCTGTAGGCAGTTACCCGTTCTTCAACTTTTCTTCCTCTTTTATGGACTCAAGAGCATGGCTTTTAAAGGTTCTCATGGTTCCTGAGTGCTAGGGCGGCATTTACAAAAGTCTGCCCCCTGGACGTTAGAAATGTATTTTAAAAAAACAGAATCCAGGGTCTCGTGTACGAATGACTTTGGGAGGCCCTGTCTGTACGGTTTTTAGTGCAGGACTTCTCAGAGCCTTTGTTGTGAATTGTGAATGCTCAAGAGTGACGTAAGGAATGCAGCCTGTTCCAAACTTGTCTAATAATGCAACCAATTTTTCAAAGAGTATGTTGTGGGACTAATGTTCCAAGATCCCCACGTTGGATAACAGTGTTCTAAAACTAAATAAGTCAAAGGGAAGTGAATAATGACGTGATACCTCTGTTATTCCTGCTATTATCTGACACCCATTTGGCAACGTGACATTTAAGTTGGAGCACACGGAAGGGAGGAAGGCTGTTGACGCACTTTGAGAAGTGAACTTCAGTTTTCCACGTGTTATGGAATGCCTTTCGGGCAAGATCCCTGTCTCCTAGAACCAGGAGCACATTCTTTTCTCAGCCCCTTCTGCCTTGCCACGCCCCCCAGCGCAGCCAAGGAAGGACGGAGGTGTCACATGCTTTGTCCAAGGACAAGCCGGTAGAAAAGCAGGACACTCCAAATGTACCCAGTTGGATGAGATCCAGTCCCCAGTCAATGGAGCGACTCCCGTTTATAGAGTGTCCAGGCTTGAAGACGCCAGCCCAAGCCAAAATTCCTGCCATGAATGAAGCGTCTGGGCAGGCTTTCTCCCGGCCACATCGTGCCTCCTACTGGCTGCCTGTCCTCGGAGCCCAGGCCTGCCAGGGGCGGCTTGCACCACGGGCTGCCTCTTTGTAGAGTTCCGCCATCTTTTTGTTCTCTAACAATTGTCGAGGTTCACAGGACTGTGACATAGGCAGGACAAGGGGTGAGAAGCAGAGAAGGCGACAGATGCCTTTGGGATCCTTTCCTTCAGAGAGGGAAGGACCCATCCAAGTTCACAAGCTTCCCCACCAGCCAGCCGACCTCCTATGACCACCTTTCTGGATCTACAGTGTCACTGTCCAGCCTGATGCCCAGGTCAGTAGCCTGAGGTCCCTCCTCTCTCTCCTTCACAGAATCCATTTGATTCTCCCTAAGCCTCTCTGTTGAGTCCAGCTCCTCCTTCCACTCCCAGCTGGTCCAAGCTTCACCATCTCCAGCTGGTGCTTTGCAACCAGCCCATGAGTGGCCTCCTCCTGAGCTCCACTGTTAGAAGAATCTAATTAAATCAGACCTTTGCTTGAAATCCATGTTTGCTCTCGGCAAGACACATGTGCACCCTGAAAGACAACTCATACTTTGGCCCCAACTGCTCACCTGGCCTCAATACCTGCCAGGTGCTGCACCACCCCTCTCGTCAACCATGCTGACAGTCTGCCACTTGTGACACAGCACCCGGGCATTATTTATTCCTCTCCTGTTCACTCTTCCCTTCCACAGGTCCCTAGAAAACTCCTATTCAGCCATCAAAACCCACATCAAATGCCACCTTCTCTCCTTGCTCAGAGTTAGTGACTTCATCCCCCTGCCACGTTTGTCCCTGCCTCTGTAGCAGCACTGGCTACACTGTGCCGCTGGAGCTGCTGTCTGTTGGCTCGTGTGTCCATCCCCTCACTTGGTGACAGAGACCTCAGATCATTTGTTTTTATGTCCTGGAACCTCGCATGGTGTTAATGCATGTTTTAAATCGTGCATGAGTGGATGCTGAGAAAATCTCTGTCTGCCTTGCTGTGACCCCCAGAAGCCTCATGCAGGTCGAGAGGGAGGAAGAGGTGACAGCTCTTCCTTTTTTCTTTGTTTCTCACCCCCATCGCTGGATACAGCCAGTTGTCAGTCATTCGGGCTAAAATATGGAAGAGCTGTGTTGGAAACTAGAGTATTTTTGCAGAAGGGGTAACGCACGAGGCTGTGTGCTGGGACACAAGACAGGTACGTTTCAATAGAAGGCTGGGACTCAGGCCACGCCTGGCACGACCAAGGACAGCAGACTTAACTACATTTGAAGTCCCCGGATGCCAGGGTCAGTGGGACTGAGAACACGGGGAGGGAAGAGGTTGCAGCGACGGGGGCCCAGGAGGGACAACAAAACTCACATCTTGCTTCACCATTCTGACTCTAATCATGGTCCGTTTCAGGGCGATGGCATTTTTGTTCATCCTGCCACTGACTTCAAGCCCTGGTCACAACAAAAGGACTTTTGGAAATTATTGGATCCTATGAACTCTTAGTTCTTACGTATCTGCTCCAAAGCAGGGGCATTGTCCAATTAATATTTCAACAGCGTGTCCTGCTGGGAGCCACGTACAAAGAAATCAGGGTCCCTTCTCCGAGTTCCAGCTACAGAACTCCAAAGAGGACGTTTTCACACATTCTCATAGAGAGAACTATCGTCAACTATAAAAGAACTGCCTCAGGTGACAAGTGCAGTGTCACACCCTTAGGGAATAAAATTCTGGAATGAACTGAATCCTGGGAGTTGAATCAATAAATTTAGAGAAGCGAGGAAACGGAACAGACAGCTTTCTTTATTGAAATGAAGGGAGGGGAGAGCTTTGCAGTGGACACAGGTGTCTGTCATGGACAGAGATTAAAGTAAGTCAGCCAGGTCTCAAAATAGGGACAGGAACACGTATTTTCCACAACAATGGTTTCCATCTTAGAAAAGAGATCATTTAAAAAAATCATTAATCTTATTTTGTAGCATAAGAACATGGTTTAATTGTTTACTGCCCAGATTCTTCAGTCTCTAATTGGAGCAGTAGGTTGCACTACATCTGTATTTTTAGTGATAATAACAGCTGCTCTGGAATTGGTATGAGTTCCCCGTTGGTAAAAGAAGTTGTTCTTCAATAATTTACACTGCCTAATTCTTCCTTGTAGGGCTCTATGAACAAGCAAGTACAGGACCACCATTTTCATAGTCTTTACACTCGACTTGCCTCAAAGGCTCTTAAAAGCGTTGGAACCAGCAACGTTTTTATTGGGCATCCTCTGCGCTGACCCTTAGCTGCCACCTCAGGGTACCTGCCCAGCTGAATCCAAATTGAGCGTTAAAATCCATGCTACAAATTCCTCCTGGCTTTTCCCACTTCAGCCAGTGATTCCCCAAAACCTATTGTGCGTTATGAACAAAAACTGTAAGACTGAAGGCGTGATTTGCAAACTGTATTTCTTTGTATGTGGATGCATATGGATGCCCTGACAGAGAGACCTGGCCAATTCCGCTTCCTGGTGATTGTGAATTCCTTGATCCCAGGACATACCAGTTCAATTAACTCAGCAAATGTTTATGGGCACGGTCTCTGTGTAGTCTATAAGCTCCGTAAGGACAAGGCTTGGGTCTGATTCGGGTATCACTGTATACCGAGCACCCAAGACACGTCTGCCCAGCGTGACTTAGTCCCTCGATAAATATTTGATTGACAGACTGTCAGGCACTAAGCTAGGGACAAGGACACCAGCCATTAAAGGTTGGAGTACAGCAAGGAGTGGCCACAATGCAATCAACGAGCAGCCTGCACTATACTCGGGTGGGAGCACAGTTCTCTGGAACAAAAAGGAGGATGTGATCAATTCTGCTCGGCCACTGGGAGGAGGGAAGCGCTGCTCAGGGGGACTGCCAGGAAGGCTGGACCTTAGAGGACAGGTGGAATTTCATCCTGACTGCAGAAACGGAGAAGAGTTGTCCTGGCAGCAGGATAGCATGAGCAAGGGCATGCAAATGAGGAAAGGTATAGGGCATGGCGTTCTATTGCTGCCGAAACAAATTACTACAAACTCGGTGGTCTAGAATAAGACAAATTGATCCTCTTACAGTTCCTGAGGTCGGAAACCCAGTGCTCCTGGTTTCTTTGCTTCAAGTCTCTCAAGCCCAGAATCAAGACGTCACCAAGACTGAGCTCTGGGGGAGAATTCGCTTTCGGCGCACTCAGATTGCCGGCAGCAGAGTTGTGGGAAAGAAGACCCTGTTTTCTGGCTGGCTGCTGGCCGTGGGGGGCTCTCAGCTTCTAGAGGCTTCCTCCCTCCCCTGGCTCGTGGCCCACTTCTTCTTCACAGCCAGCAACAGCAGTCAAGGCCCGCTCACACTATGACTGTCTCCTGCCTCTTCTTCCAGCACAGCTCTCTGCCTCTTCCACTTCCCTCTCTCCCTTAAGGGCTCGCGCGGTTAGATTGCGCCCACCCAGACAATCCATGGTAACCTCCCTATCTTAAGGTCTGTACACTGAACTGCACCTGCAAAGTCTCTCTTGCCATGTAAGGTGACATATTCACGGGTGTCGAGGATTAGGGTATGGGCATCTCTGGGGACCATAACTCTGCCAACCACCCACAGTGTCTCCTGGGAGACAGAATATGTGGAGAGGAAGGGATGCAGGAGGAGGAGGAGCCCAAGGCCGTCCCGTGGAGGCCTTCGAATGACTTTCTATAGAGTTGACTTATGATCTTGCAGCCACTGAGACGGTGGAACTTTACGAAGAGGCAGGGCGAGGAGTTCGCGTTCTCCTCCTCCTAACAGGGTCTTTCACAGAACAAAAGTCTTCCTTTCAATGAAGTCCAGGCTATCAATTTTTCCTTTTATGGATTCTGCTTTTCAAGCAGTCGAAGAACTCTTTGCCCAGCCCTAGATCCCAAAGATTTTCTTCTGTTTCTTTCTAAAACTTTTATAGTTTTACGTTTAAGTCCATCATCTATTTTGAGTTAGTTTTGGTATAAAATGTGAGACATATGTTGAGCCTTACTCTTTTACCTATGGATGTCCAACTGGCCCAGCACCATTTGCTGAAAAGGTTGTCCTTCCTCCACTGAATAGCGGTTGCAACTTTGTCAAAAATGCCTGCTTGCGTGGGTCTGTTTCTAGGTTCTCTGTTCTGGTCCCCTGATCTGTGAGTCTATCCCTTTGCCAATAGCACACTGTCTTGATTCCTGTAGCCTTATAATAAATCTTAAGATACAGTAGACTGTCTCTTCCCACTTTATTCTTCTTTTTCAAAATTGTTTTAGGTATTCTAGGTCCTTTGACTTTCCATATAAATTTTAGAATAATCCTTATTATTTTCTTCCTTATATTTACTTTTAGCTTTTTTTGTTTGTTTAGTTTCTTTTTTTTTTTTAAGGAAATCCTTGCTTTTGCTTTTTTTTTTTTTTTTTGCTGGGAAAGATTTTCCGTGAGCTAACATCTGTTGCCAATCTTCCTCTCTTTTCTTTTTCCCCACCTCAAAGCCCCAGTACATAGCTGTATATTCTAGTTGTAGGTCCTCCTAGTTCTTCTATGTGAGCCACCACCACAACATGTCTACTGACAGACGAGTGGTGTGGTTCCATGCCCAGGACCTGAACCCAGGCTGCTGACATGGTGGCAGCACCAAACTTTCACCACTAGGCCATCAGGGCTGGCTCTATTTGTTTAGTTTCTTTTGTGTGTGTGTGAGGAAGATTGGCCCTGAGCTATCATCTGTTGCCAATCTTCCTCTTCTTGCTTGAGGAAGATTGTCACTGAGCTAGCATCTGTGGCCATCTTCCTCCATTTTATGTGGGACACCGCCACAGTGTGGCTTGATGAGCCGTGCTAGGTCCACAGTGAGGCTGGACGAGTACTACTAAGTCTATGCCCAGGATCCGAACCTGCGAATCCCGGGCCACTAAAGCAGAGGGCATGAACTTAACTGCTACGCCACTGGGCTGGCCGCAATTTGTTTAGTTTCTTAAGGTGGAAACTTAGATTATTGATTTGAGACCTTTCTTTCTTCCTAATAAAAGCGTTTAATACCATAAAATTCCCTCTAAGCACAGCTTTAGCTGAATTCCACAAGTTTTGATGAGCTGTATTTTCCTTTTCACCCCACTCAAAATATCTTCTTATTTCCCTTGTCACTTCCTCTTTGATCTATGGGTTATTTATAATTTCCAAATATTTGGAGATTTTCCAGATAGCTTCCTATTATTTATTTCCAATTTAATTCTATTATGGTCAGAGAACACACTTTTAATGATTTCAATTCTTTTAAGTGTGTTAAGGCTTGTTATGTAATCCAGAATATGGTCTATCTTGGACAATGTTTTGTGTGCATTTGAAAACATGTACGTTTTACTGCTTTAGGTAGAATGTTCTATAAATGTCAGTTGTGTCAAATTGCCTTATAGTGTTATTCGGGTCCTCTATATCTTTCCTGATTTATTTGTTCTATCAACTACTGAGAGAGGAGTGTTAAACTGCCCAAGCAGATTTATGGATTTGTCTATTTCTACTTTCAATTCTATCTATTCTTGCTTCATGTATTTTAGGAGCATACACCTTCAGGATTGTTATTCTTCTTGGTTGATTATCCATTTTATCACTGTATATTGCCCCTTTATTTCTGGTAAGTTTCTTTGCTCTGAAATCCACTTTGTGTGATATTAATGTAGCCACTCCATATTTCTATTGATTAGGATTTTTATAGTATATTTTTTTATGCTTTTAACCTAACTGTATGATTATATTTAAAAATTGGTTTCTTGTAGTCAGCATATAGTTAGGTTTTGTTTTATTAGCCAATCTGACAACCTCGGAATTTGTCTTAGATTGGCACCTGAGCTAACATCTGTTGCCATCTTCCTTTTTTTCTTCTTCTTCTTCTCCCCAAAGCCCCCCAGTACACAGTTGTATATTCTGGGTGTAGGTCCTTCTGGCTGTGCTATGTGGGAGGCTTCCTCAGGACGGCTTGATGAGTGGTGCCATGTCTGCACCCAGGATCCCAACCAGCAAAACCCTGGGCTGCTGAATCACAGCACGTGAACTCAACCACTCGGCCACGGGGCTGGCCCCTGACAACCTCTGACTTTTAACTGGTGTTTTTAGATCATTTACATTTCATATAATTATTAATATGATTAAATACCATTCTATTAATTATTTGCTGTTCATCCCTTTGTTTATTGTTCCGGGGTTCCCCCTTCCCATCTTCTTTCAGATTATTTCAGTGATTTTTAGCTTCCCATTTTATTTTATCTATAGGCTTTTTGGCTATAGGTATATAGAGTATTATATATATAGTATAATTTAGTGGTTGCTCTAAGAGTTATAATATAACATTGCACAGTCTACTTAGAGTTAATGTTTCACTATTTCCAGTAAAATGTAGAAGATGACCTCTAACCATATAGTTAGATGTGGTTTATATGATGAACTTCACTTTAATTATAGTTGTCATATGGATTATATCTTCATATATTAAAAACTATATCAGTGAGTGCTATCACTTTTTCTTTCAACAGCCATACGTATTTTAAAACACCTAAGAAGAGAAGAAAAGTCTGCTATATTTACCATTTTTTGTTACTTTTCCTTCACTCATGTTCAAAATATCCCTCTGGGATCATTTTCCCTCCACCTGAAGAACTTCCTTCAGCATTTCATTTAGAGCAGGTGTGATGGTGACAAACTCTCTTAGTTTCCAACCATCTGAGAATGTCTTCAGTTTGCCATCAATCCCAAAGAATGTTTTCATTGGATATGAATTCTGTGCTGAGAGTTCTTTGCTTTCAGCATTTTAAAGATGTATTCCACTGTCTTCTGGCCCCCCATGGTTTCAGAGGAGAAATCTGCAGTCATTTGAATAATTGTTCCCCAATATGTAAAGTTTCATTTTTCTATGGCTGCTTTCAAGAATT